CCCCCCCCCTCCCGGGATTTGAGGTGCAGAAAAATAATAATAATAATAAAAATAATCGCAAAGAGAAAAAAAATATTGCAAAGTTGGTATCAATTCTGTGAGAAAATGCACTCATGGCCACTAGACAATCATTCAACAGTCGTCCCCTCGTGTACGCTTAGGCCTACTGCCCCCCCCCCCCTAGCATTTTGCTCATGCTACGGCTGTGGAGTATTGCGTGGAATGTTTTCTATCTTCTTAATTATTTTTCATTTTAACCGAAGAAGTTAAACTAGTGAAGTATGTCCTAAAGGCATCGCTGATCGACTTATTCAACACCAGTGTTGTTGTCCCTTTAACAAGATGTTGTGCTATCATCGTCGAAACCTAATATTCACGTAAAATAAAAGAAAAAACAATAACATAAAAAAATTAATATAGGCCTATTAAAAATAAACAAATAAAATAGGCCTAGAATAAGTAAATTTATAAATGAAAAAATGTTTTCATTGACTAATTACTTGATAATATTATGTAACAAAGAATGTCTTAAATTCAACGTTTTTTTTTTTTTTTTCACTTCTGCTTTTCTAGCTTACACACTGAACAAAGACCTTTTGTATCGTCTACCCAGAATACATTGCGCCCTTTTCGTCAAATACAGAGAAAATCAATAAAACAGGGCAATTTCACTGTGTAAAATGTGGTCATGAATTGTTTAACTGTCACTTATTTACAAAAATACAGTATGTCAATAACAGTGATAACCTGAAACTCTTCAGATACGGCCCCCGTGGCGCTTTTCTTTACTGTGGGACGGCAGGTGCACTCTTCCGTGGAAAAGCGAGAGAAAACGTGAACAAACATGGCAGCCTCCATGCCTCAAGTTTCGGTGTGTTGTATATCACTTATTTTGCTATTTTTAGCTAGTTTATGTCAAGGATTATACGAAGATCAGATTGGAAAGTTTGATTGGTATGTATCAGCAGCATAATTGTCATGTCTAATTTAAAAAAGATAGGGAGTATTTGTGAATTTGAGCTGGCACTTAACAGTCTGGCTGCCGACAGTGCTTCACTGTTTGTGAATTTGTATACCGACTACATATAATACCCTTACGTTCATGCACCGTTACTACCTGCGTCGCTCCCACCCCCCCCTCCTTGCACCATTACTCCACTCTGTTATTACCTGGCATCACCCTGACATTCTGGCATTAATGGCGAAAGAGGGGGGGGGGGGGGAGAGAAAACTTCAAAAATAATTTCTCCAAAAAAATGACATACGAGTTCAAATTCCAATTAAGTCTTTGAACTGATATGTGGAATGTATTTGCTGACATTTGAAATTAAATTTTAAACATTGCCCTTCTTTTCAACCTTCTGTGAATTGTCAAAATTTTGGATGTATGTCAGTTGTGGTCAGTTCCTGACTGCAGAAATTGAGAATAAGTAGCAGTCTGAGTCTGACACTTTATCATTTGTGCAAAAATGATTAACTGCTGCCACTTTTTGTCCTTAACATGCCCTAAATTTAAAAGCTACATGCACTTTTTAATTATAACACCTCAATGTAAATACAGCAAATTTAAAACAAAAATATGCATTTTGAGACTCTGGTCACACCACAAAATCTTATTAATTTGTTACTTTTTATCTTTTCCAGGAAGCAGGAGTATGTAGGGGAAGTTTCCCACTTGAACTTTGAGGGCAAAAGGCTGCTAGTTGGCACAAAACATAATGTGGTGGCGTCTCTAAATGCTAGGAATGGACAAATAGGTGAAAATTTGCTAACCTTTAACTGTTTTCCTGATTACCATTTCAAATAGTGCGTATTGCTCACCTCATATACTGTATAAATTACTAGTAATATATAACAGATGCACATCAAATATTACTTTCTCTTTTGTTTAAACCAAGACCTATTGTTGAAGAATAAAAGTCTTCATCTTAAATGGTGATTTATGGGAGAAGTGAATGTTATAAGTACAGAGGTAAAGTGGGGTAAACATTTTTCTAGTCCAATGTAAATGGTTTTTTGAAAAAAAAAATGAGATATTATTTTAATGTCAATAGAATATTTTGTGTTATTTCAGTTTGGAGACAAGTACTTGAAGAAGACTCGAGGGGACGCATAGATGCTCTTCTTGTGAAAGATAAAAGTAAGATTTGCTATTGTCTCGCAACTGTGAGAGAAGGACCTTGGCTTCTTGCAGCACTTCAGATACAAAATGTTTTTCAGTCTTCGGGTTCACACCAGTTTTGACTTACAAACAAAATACTGTATTTATACTTCACAAGACAGCTCATTAAAATGTGTTCTGAGATACAGTTTTGTTAATTGAAAGATGTACATGCATTTATTAATGGCAGACTGATGAATTTTTTCTATCATTTGGTTATAGATCATCAATTAGACTTCAGATTTTTCCATTATTCCAGTTGCAATAACAGTATCAGGCAATGACCATATAAGGTCATGGGATGTGGAATATGGAGGTTTGAACTGGGAGGAGCCACTAGATGGCGCTCCAGATGCCCCTGAAGCTCAGGCGTGCCTTATGGGGAGCTCACAAGGTGAAGGTCACAAATGTGATATGTGTGTATAAACTGTATCAGCTGGGGCAAAAAGTTGATCTGTCATTCTTTTCTTATTCCCAAGTGCCAAATATTGACTATCCATGAATTATATGAAGAAATAAAAAGTTGTAGTGGTTTGTTGAAAGTATTTCATCTCTAATTTTTTAAAGCCACAGTGAAGGGGTTGGGAGTGTTTTGGGATAAAAAAATGTTTTTAATGCAATCAATAGCCTAGATTAATTTAGAGTGATTGTACATCCTTATTTAAAATGCTGATCAGGCTCATAGCCAGGGGGGTTCTAAAGAAATCCCTTTTGCTGAGAAAAGGTTCCCATCTGGGTAAAATTTTATCTAGGACTAAGGTACATGAAGGTTTCATGTTAAAAAGTCCCCCCTTATGAAAGTGCTGGCTACGGGCCTGCTGATATTATGATGTACCTGAACATTTCAGACACAATGGTGGTGCTGAGTGCAGGCAAGCTGCTGGCTTTCAACGTCAATGGCCAGGAGTTGTTCAGGAAAGTTCTTCCCAGCAGGTCAGTGCTTGGATTTTAAATATACTGACAGTCAATGAAAACACACCAGAAAACTTTCTTGTATTTTTTTTACCGAGAATCGATTTAAACCATTTAAACGAGTACAAATGCACTAGTTTCCTCAAAAGAGAGTGGGCGGACCACTCGGATGTTTAAAATTTCCGCTTCAGTGATTTTGTGACAAGCTCTTGTGTGTTGTGTTTTTCCTGTCTCAATATTACTTTTAGAATTTTGATTTCATGGGCAAAAGTTTTCAGGATAATGCCTGATTTCAGAATTTTCCCTCTTCATTTTGATAAATATATGTATTTATTTTCATATGGTCTAAATGAGAGAAAAAATTGCAAGCCATGTTCTCAGGATTTTCAGTTATTACATCTTTCACTCATGCAATAAAGTCCATTTACAATATCTGCTATTCCAGTGATGGTGCTATCCACAAATTCCTGCACTGTGGGAGAACAGAGATTAATGTTATTGGCGTTGTGCCAAATTCTCATGTATCCATAGCAACATACAGTGACTCGGGCAATGTCCAATCACAGAGCCCTGTGCCTGCGGACTGGGTGAAGAAGGACACAAGGTGAGAGGGTTTTTTTAAAAACTTTGAAGTGTTCAGGCCATTACAGATGAATATTAAAAACAATAGCAACAGCCAACAACAAAGATATATCATCAATAAAAAATCTTAAGGTTATCGAAAATAAATATATGTATACATGTATATTTTTTATTTTTTTATAACCCTTTATTGATGTAATATTTTAGGTAGCTATGATTGATTTTTTTAAATTTGGAGATATTATGATCCACCTTCTTTCATAAATTGACCCAAATAGTTCATTAATGAAAGGGGATTTTAGATTGGTAGCCAAAGTATATAGTGAAATCAAAATTGTCTTCAAAAACAGCTGCCTGATGTTTCCTGTTTGTTTAGGTGTCTCCTCATTGCTGATGGTCATCTAGTCTGTTATGAGCCACAGCTGAGCAGCTTGAGAACTCTGGCACTGAAGAAAGGACAGGCATTCTCTACCACTCTCTTACAGGTGTGATATTGTTGTTTAGATGTTTGTAGTCTTAATTGAAAACCCCAAAATGTCAGTTAAATATGACAGATTCATTTCTGATATTTGATGAATTTGATGAACCACCTCCGCTAGTTTCTTATATGATAAAAAAAGGATAAATAAATAAATTTTCACCAATCATTCGGTCATGAATCAAAAAAAAGAAAAAAAAAAAGCTTTAAAACTGCACCATCTTCAAATTTCTTGTTGGAAACTTGACATATTTATCTCTCTCCAGTTTTTAAAAGTTTGCCAAATTACACTGTAATGTATGTAGCATAACAACTGCACATGCAATAGCATAAATATCTTAATACATGGCTTAAGCCACCTAGGAATACATATATAGAAAACAAAAAAATATCCTTTTTTTTTAAGAACGTAATGTTTCCTGTTAAACTATATGATAGCATTCAGTTGAGTTTAAGAGCAAGGATTTGACTTTTAAATTTCAAGTTTCCTTTTCTAGGAACTAGGCTTGCAAGGCCAGGCTGTAAAGCTGACTTCCTTAAATCACAGAAACATGTTTGTGGTACAACTCTCTGCTTCACATCTTGCCTTGCTGTCAGTGGGTACTGATGCTGTAAAGCTGGTTCTCAACCTGCCAAAGGTGGGTACTGTTTGTATGAATAAATATTTGCAACTGCCGTGTATCTAAGAACAGACATTAAAGATTGTGAACTTTAGTTAAGGAAACTAGGAATCAACACCATTTGTTTTAAAGACGTAAAAAAAAAAAAGAAGGTCCCTGCATTGACTACCAGGGTTAATCACATTTATAACCTATTTTATACTCTTTTTTGTAGGTTTCAGCTGTCTCTGTGTCATCCAGTGGTGACATAGAG